CCAAGACGTTATTAAATATATTTTAATCTATAAATTTTTCATATAACCGTTATTCGTGCCGCTATCTCTTGGTAACCGTCGGTGCTATAGGTATATATCGCCATTTGCAGTCGAAATTTCGTGAATAGTGGTGAATACTCATTGTGTTCACTACTTTATTATCTGCAAAACTTATAATATCCATTGGAAAATAAATTATATGGAATGGTAGGATCGAATATCAGGCTTATATAGAAGAGAGCGGTACCCTGACCCAACTATTAAGTCTGGCCGAAAACTAAGAAAATATCGTAAGGAAGAGAGAGCCTTCAAGAGCCGCAGCCCGAACAATGCTGTCCAGATGAAGCGAAGAGCTATAAGAGATGAACCGCATAAAGAGAGATACTAGTTACCAGTAATGCACTAGAGCGTCAGTAGTAGAGGCGTTGATTCCACTGTGACATTACGAATGATCCAGCATCTTAGAGACGAGGAGCCTAGACGAGTAAATTCTCAAACGGTATGAAGATGATGAAGCGAAAACGGGGATAGTGTCCTTTTTCGTCCGAAAATAATCTGTTCTGGTCTTGAAACCTTCCATAAGTCATCGTATCTTTTCAAAGAAACTTTGAGCATTAGCCTTGTCGGTCAGCTTCTCAAGCTCTTCATACTCTCGCATCTCGTTGTCTTTCTTTTCTGCCTGCAGATTCGTCTTCGTTCCCTCTTCGTTTCTCGATATCTATCCCATCCCGCACGTGTTGTGGTCCATCTCTCAGAGAGGAAGAGTGCAAATCGAGTAGAAAATCGTTCAGCAGTCTGTTGTGATTGCAGCTTTTCAACGTCGAACTTTCATCAATACACAGAGGCGCATGCGTATCTTCGGTGCAACAAGTAAATGGTCCGAGTCGAAGTTGAGTTCTCGGAGTGTACGCACGTCAAAAACACTGGTGACATGCCTTCCGACTATCACAGCATGACCGATCTGGATTATTTCGACAAACCAAGCTAGAAATCAGTTGCGTGTATAGGTGAGACAACCACAGGTCTAGAAGACAGGCCGATGTAGATGGAAGATATATTTAAAACAGTGCAAAAGAGCCAAAAAGAAGCCGTCTATCAAGAAAGCACGATATTTAAACTATTTTGCGGAAGGTGGCAACCGATGATAGGAGGCAGAGTTGTCGTAAAGAAATACCAAAGATCGAAAGCGAACGAAAATTTCTCAGCTAAGATGGCACTGAGATACGCCAGACCGTTTAAAGGGCAGAACTTTATGTCACCAATAATCGTCGAATACGACAGCTTGCACAACGGGAAAAGGAGAACGGCGCATATAAGCGAACTAAACAAGTAGTACGCTGAAGAGAGGGATTGAAACAACATATTATACGCCCGAAGCAACTCTCCCTGGCAAAAAAAGAGCTTAGTTCGACGCGAAAGCGAAGGATATGTAAATTTTACAGTTAAGCTAAAATCTGATAACTCGGCATTAGCCAAATAGGGGAGCAATTGCTAAAGTGAAAGGCGATCACGAAATAAAGGAAATATTACCCTGAAATAGCAGAAGCAGAAGAAGAAGACATTACAAATTGCAAAGACGGTACAGTCGAAGAAATATAAGGAAGTTGAAAGAATAAGATGATTTGGAAGTCAAAGAAGCAGAGAGCAAGACTTTAAAAAGAAGAAAAAATAAAAGAAAAATAAGAACCAGAAATCAAAGCCGAATAACTGTGGGCGAAGTCGACAACAGAAGTTACTTCTTCAAAGAAGTCAAAGAATAATTAGAAGATGCTGAACTCAAAGAAAAAGAAGAACCCATGTCGAAAGAAAGGCAGAAGTTGCACAAACAGAAGCAGAACCGAAGAAGAAACAAAAGTCGTAGAATAAAAAAAGAAGAACTCCATTATTTTGTGGAATTTCATTACAGTTTACCTATTAACAGTGTATTGAAACTTTAAATTCGCACAAACAAACATTGTAAAAATTATAGGTTTCTGGGTTTTCATGGTTTTACCAAATAAACATCACGTTGTAGAATAATATCGTTTGAAAAACCTGTTTTGATAAAGAAGAAAAAGCGAGATGGCGCTACTATGTTAAACCTACAAACGTAGCATAACCACCACGAGTTGTTGAGGTTAAAGTATAAGTTCAATGAATTCTGTAGTAAACAAAATACAGTGAAATTCGATTGATTTTACATTCTCAAATTCTGGTGCTAGCAAAGCCGGCCACGTGTTAGTTAGACTGAATTGTAAATTCTATTCACATTATTTTAAATTATATGTGTTTAATTGTTCAAACTTCTTAATTAAAATTTAAATATAATATAGGCATGTGAGTATTAGCACATAGTCATAAAAGTTAATTAACAAACATGTCTATGAAATAATGGTACAAAGCTCCAAATACTTTTTCAATAACCAAAGTACCCATACTTATTTTTTTGACTATTTTACGACATGTTATCTATCGTATGTATGGTGTGCCAAAAAAACTATTTATGGTCCGATTTTGTTGGCTGTTCCTGCTGAATAAGGCGTTTTTTTTTCATTTTGGACGCACCAGGTGGAACCGGTAAGATACTTTTAATATCATTGATTCTTGTCAAAGTACGATCACAACAGAAAATCGCATTGGTAGTTGCATTGCCAGGCATCGCCAGATCCAATGTGTAAAATAAAAAAAGAAGAATGGAATAGCGGCAGTATTGCGGAAGAGTTCAATAATAATTTGGGATGACTGCGTGGTTACATACAACTGTGCAAGGTTTATAAGGAAATGTCAATCTTTTCGGTGGCGCTATCTTACTTTTGTCTGGTACGCGTACGATTGCGAAGTGATCCATCAGGCAAATGTTTTCCGAACTATTACTAGATATTGGGAACGGTAAAATAAAACTGCGGTTACAATTTCTGAACTGTTTTTCAAGATAAAAATTAAATGTTTCAGAGTATTTTTCCGCATATACGGAATAATTACTTTAATCATTACTGGCTTAGTTATAGGACGATTTTGGTTGTCAAAAATGTTGCTGTTTAGGAAATTAACTTCCAGATGCAATAGTGGTGTCTCCTAAGTAAATCGATATTTTTTGACGAAAAATAAAGTAAATTTTCTAATTGAATTTTTAAATTCTCTAGATATACTTGGCGGTCGCGGCTAGCATTGCGTACTGCCATTCGTAAGGCTCGAGATCAAATCTAGGTAGGACCAACATTCAATAGTTAATGTTAATTAACTTTCTTTAAAATTAATTAATAGTTAAAAATTAATTTAATAAAAAATTTAGTTAAATTTTTTACTTTTGTGATGTATTTCAGCCGTTCGAAAGCGGCTTGGTATAAATTGTAGGTCCCTCCATTTGTTGGAAAAACATCAATGCGCAAAGCACAAAATGAAGGAGGGGCTCGGCCAAAGGCCACATTATCTTCAATTAAAGATCGGCTCCCCCTATTATTCTCCACCTCAATTATGTAACGGTACGCGTTTTGTCATCAAAGAGATAACCCGAAATACTCTTGAAGCAATAATTTTAGTTAATAAGTTTAAAGGAAACTTGGTGTAGTAGCCACGTATTCCAAAGATACCGTCAGACTCTACTTAACCCTTCAGAGGTACAGTTTCCACTTTTGCCAAGTCGCGTGTAGGAAAACCGTCCAACATATTTGTTAGCTAAATATAGGTTAACCAGGAATATTGCGCACTGATTAGTGCTGAGTTAGTAAGAAATTAAAAGTATTTATAATTCAAAATAATAAATATTAATGTTAAATAATGAAGACTATCTACCCTACCTACCTCATTCATAAGTTTAAGTGTCACATTTTAGCTACTAACAACTTTGTAATGTACTCATTTGTTACAAACTTGAGTAAAAATAATAATTTTAAAATTAATTAATTCTTTTGTATTCATTTTTGCCTAACATCTATTGTTCGAAAATTGTAATCAATCATATTCAAAGTCCTTCTTATTCAAATCCAGTGGATTTTTATACCAGCTTTAGCATTTCCGTCTTCATTCGTAAATAATAATAAATAAAATTTCATTGTACTATATGAACGCATTACGGTAGTAGAAATTAGCCATGAAGGTCGCCAAACTTACGAAAAGGCATCTATGTAAAACAGCATGGTTGTCCCTATGACTGATGTTCTCCTAGCGATTCTTGCAACAGCAACGCGTGGCCGGATTAGCTAGTAATATAATATAAAAACATGTTACAAGTTTTGATTTTATCATATAACTTGAAAGCTGTGCTGCCATTTAGAGCAGATAATCTCTAGAGTATTTGCAACTCTGAATACTTCAGGCGATTGAATTAAAAGCTGTACGAGATATTTGGCGACAATGACGTAGTTTAGCGAATAAATGGAAGTCTCTAGCTTTGAAGAAAAGGGACAGAGGAGGCAGACCTCCTCCACATTGGAAACATCAAGAGTAGAGCGAACTGGCTTTACTTGGTAGTTATTCACATAAGCGGTGCCAATGTAGAAAATAAATTTTTGAAAAGATTTACAACAACTCTTAAATTATTAATTACATATGTTACATTGGTAAATTATAATAACCAAATATAGAAGTTAAAATAACCTTAAATACAATTCACGTAAATAGAATATATTACGAGAAACAAAATATTATATTGCAATGAATCACCTTAGTTTAAAAGAAATTTTAAAGCTTGCAAAAATATTACAAACCAATGTAAATATTGCAAAACAGACTGTAAAATATCATATTGAACTCATAACCAAGTAGAGATTAATATTATTAACGCAACTACAACAAATTTAATTACCATGTTAAATGATCAAAACAATGTTAAAATGAATAAACTGCTCATTATGATAGACTCTGAAAGATTCACCTCGTTTGCCGATTTACAATTTAACTTAATATAAAAATAATATAACCAGAATTTTTTATTTTTGAAATCTTTTGATCATAAAATGAAAAAATCAGAGATATATCTTTTCAAACAATAAACTCAGCTTTAATTCATTAATCGTACTCACCAGTATGTAAGCGGGTGTGCTGTTGCACGTGGGAAAGCTGCTTAAATCTACGATCACAATATGAGCATTTGTACGGTTTTTCGCCGGTGTGTACGCGGATATGCTGCACCAATTGATGATTGCTGGAGAAACTCTTCATGCATTGCTGACATTGATGCGGTTTACATTCGGCGCCCATACTACCAGGAGCACCGGGGCCGACGCGAGGTATCTGCTGTATCTGTTGCATTGCGCTTTTGTGCATAAAAAGCTACGGGCGCACAACAAGCAAACACCCCAACGCGGGACAGTGGACGATGTACGATAGAGTATGTAGTTGTGCATGGAAAATATGCGGAAATAAAAAAAGCAGTGACGCATTTTCAAATTAACTAAATGATTTAAATAAATTGAAAAGCTTTATTTTTGATATAAAAATTATTTGTCAAGCAGTTTGGCCCCAGTTTTTTATGTTTTGTTTCTATATACTTGTGTGTAGCAAATACATGCGTGGATATACGAGTATATAAGTACTACAGTTCACATGTGAGCTCATTATTGTAGCCATTTTTTATTGGATAACTAAATTCATTGTTTTCAACATTAATATTCATTACTTATTTTTGGTTCTTATAAAAGTTCAAGGCTTTTTAGGGTATCAGAGTTTAGAAAAAAACAAGAACAAGTTCTTGAAATTTCGTGTGCAGTGATATGTTTATAATAATTGATTCTTGAAACCAGATAGATCTAAAGGCTTATTGTAAGTACCCCAAAATCTTAGATGTTGGAGCCCTTACAACGACACAAGAAATATGTATATAAAAGTAAATTGAATTTGGTAATATGTACATATACACACATATAAATAATAGAATATTTTTAAGTTTAAATGCACATCTACCATGTAATTATATACGAGCAGTGACAATTAAATAATAAGACTGATTCCATAAAAATTGTATATTTCAAAATTATTCTACAACTCTGCCATCCCCTTAGACAGCTATAAAACGATTCCAGCCCGTTTTACAGGAGAAATAAAAAGGAATTTCAAGGTCGCAGAGTTACCATATTCGCGGCAATATAATCAGTCTCATTACTTAATCGTCACACCTCGTGCTTACGTTCACATTTTACAAATTCCGCTTTATGCTTATTTTCTTTGCTTTTAAAAACAGAAACATGTTCAAACATGAGTTCATGCGAACATGTACATACATACATACACACATAGCTTTAAGGAAAACTGTACAGAGTAATAATTTGTTTTTATTAAATAACATTCTGCCTGCGCGCAGAATTGTATAAAAGGCGAGGAAAATCTAAAGGAAATTAAGTAGGCCGTGCGCCATCGATGGGTATACATATTTGCCCTTGGGATCAACACCATCGGCAAACGTAGTGGCTCTAATGGTTTTTATCTCCACAGAGATAAATGCATGCACAGTGGAAGTATAGAGAATATATTGTTTATAACTAATAAATTTGTTGTAGCGTAAAATAGTGTATTGTTTTTTTAATAATTTTAATTTAATTATTATAAGTTATTAAGTATGCAATTTAATAATTATTAAGGGGTTTTTATATATTTAGCTTAGTTGATAATAATTTCACAGGCGCACAAAAAAATATATGTTTTTAGCTGTCTATAAATATCAATATAAAAATATCTATAAAAACACACTTAGTTTTATTTAATACATTCCATTTTATTTTACAGCTTTTTCACTATAAAAAATGTTACTCTAGTTATATATAATATATGATCATTATGAGATTAATAATAGTGTGCATAACGCTTTACGTCCGTCAATGTTAGTTAGTTTTATATAACTGTCGCTGTCTAGTCTAGTCATTTTTTCATGTACCGTAATCTTCCTGGCTCCGTTTTTATATTGGCGTCAGCTAAGTTTTGTTTCGTCCAGTTTTTAATTGCAGGGTTGTATATCTTTAACCCTTTTGCAACCCGATCCCACATTCCGCTATCCGGACAATGCATTCGAACCCAATGCTGGGTGCCTTATGTAATATTTTCAGCTATGGCTTAGCTTCTGCGTGGCTCTTCAATGTAGCGAGCTTTTTCGACTGAGTGCCGTCCATTCTTGAATTTTTCAATAACTTTATAGGGCCCTAGAAATTTCGTTCTTAATTTTAGCCCTGAGCTGAGCTGAGTCCTTTTTATTACTACTAACACTCCTGGCGAATAAGATATTTTAGCTATCTTCTTTTTGTTGAAAGATTTTCTATTCTCGGCCTGAATTTTTACTATGTTTTCTATAGCTTCTTCGCAAAATCTATCTCGCTTTACATCTAAATCCTGAATGTTTTTTTTCTTATTATTTGGTGAATATCAATCAGTCCGGTTATTTGCTTGCATCTCTATACCTTTGAGTAATCCAAAAGGTGTGAATTTTGTGCTGCTGGCTGCTGTATTATTTAAAGTTTGCTCTACATGATCAACTTGCTTGTACCAAGTCTTTGGATCCTTGATTTTGCAAATATTAATACAATAATCTTATGCACACGTTCTGCCGTGTGTTACCCCCGTTGCAATCAAGAGGTGTTCAATCATGTGTTTCATACAATATTCATCAAAAACATTTGCTTTAAATGCTGTCCCTCTGTCCGTTATTATTCTTTCAGGGTTTCTTAAAGTAGCCGCTAGTAAAAACATTGCCCATCTAGATAACTCAGTGGTACATCTTCTTTCTTCTTCATAATCATTGCAAGCGCATTACAGTCCATTGCTATCTTAAATTTTGTCCCCAGTACATACACGCTATACCTTTTCAATGCTTCTATAACTACTAGCACCTCTAGCACACACGAGTGATAATTTTGTTCAATGGCTGCCACTTTCCTGCTCATGTACTGAACTGGGTGTAGTTGTTCGTTGTCTTGGTCCTTCTGTAATAAAACTGCTGCGAAACCGTATTTCATACATCTTCAGTATGGGCACACTAGCCAATGCGTACAAAAGATGCAACTTCTACGTCACTAACATTGAGTTTTAATAGTCGATTTTTCAGTAATATACCCCAAATATTTGATGTTCTCCTTCAAAATTTAAATTTTTTTAATGAGATCATGTGACGGAATTATAATTTCATCCACGTAAATAACTATCAGCCCTTCTAGCACTAGTTCATGAAATACTGAAAATTTAAATCTTCAGACTTTTCAGATTCTGACTCTAACGGTACGTGGAAAAAACCATCTCTTAGATCCAACGTAGGGAAAACGTTTCCTCTCTTTGACTGCTCGAACTTCGATTTATTTAATCTACTTCTTTTCGTCAACTTTTTTTTACGTATTGCCTCTCGGGAATTTACATTGTCCAACTTGAGCGACTTTAGATTTCTCTTGCTTCAAGCATTTATCAACTTTAAACTTCTTTAATTTTTATTAACTTAAAACTTCTGTACGTATATACAGGTATCTTGCTGAAACAATCGTTACTAATACATCTCAATCAGAAGATTTCAGAATATACGTACTACTTCAAATTTTCCAATTTGAATTTCGTATCTAAATCGCACTCAAATATGTTTGAAATATGCAAACATCACAAATAACGATTGCTTCAACATATCTTGGTTTCTTACTCACTAACACTTCGTACAATATTACTTCGTCTGCTGCTCATCTGCTGTTGATGCTGCAACTGCTCTGCTCACTATTGTACTTCGTAACTATTGCCTGCTTACCAAAGTTTCATTTCTCGTAATATGCAAATATGTAAATGTTGTATGTTATATTGTTGTGCAAATTCAAAATTTTACTTTCCTCTGGCTTTCGCTTTTACTTCTTCTGCTTAGGGTAAGCCGTTTTTGATGAAATGGTGCACCGCTGATTTGCACGTGGCTTTGATACAGCTTCACAACTAAGCGCTGTGGGAATTATGAAATTTTTTTATGTAACTTGAACGATCGCTTCAAACGCTTTTCAAAGTAAGTTTCTATTATTACTGTCAACTTTTCACTGTAACAGTTCAATATCGGGTGAGCCCCGATATTGGTGGGACAAATAAAACACCCCCAGTTTTATTTAATGTATTCTGTTTTATTTTCCACTAAAAAATATTTATACCCAATTATTTATTGATTACTAACTTGATTACTGTGCGATCAATGCTTTGCTCGATGTTGAGTAGTTTTATGAACTGTCGCTGTCTAGTCTAGTCGTTTTTTATGTACCATATATTTACTTTTCCCGCTTTAATATTGGTGGCAGTTAAGTTTTGTTTCGTCCAGCTATTAGTTGCGGGCTTGCATTTCTTCAACGCTTTTGCAACCCTATATATATATACGTGGGGATTAACAAAAGTTCGGTCAGTTGGATTCTTTCAAGTACTTTAACTAAGTGTTTTTAAGTTAAAAATCTTCAGTTACAATATTTAACAAAAATAGAGTTTAATTTTAATTAGACCAGGCTGCACCTTTATATGACTAATTTTTTAAATATTATTTTCTACAATGTGATTGTAATTATTTCGAACGTTTTTGCAAGTAGCTCGAATAAATATAGATGATGTTAAAGAAAAACATGCGATATTCTATACTTTATTTATTAGAGTTTGCTTGTACTATCACATATTTGTTCACACTTTTGTTTAAGTATTTGCTGCAGAGCATAGGCTCGCGTGTATTAGGTTGTCAAATATCTAATTTTTTGTCTTTTGAATTTCGCTTCTATGTACAAAGCGCTCGTATTTGGCAATACTATACATAATTTGAAAGATCTTGACATAACTCACAAAACAACGCTATGCATGATTAGTTTGGATATTGCGTTCAACAGTTATAGACGTGTAAACATGGAGTTCACTAACGCCGAAATTCGCGCTATTTTGAAGTTTTCCTTCGTTAAAGGCAAATCCGCTAGAGAAACGTTCCGTGAGATTAATGGTATTTTGGGGGATGGTACTCTATCACTTCGAGCCGCGGAGGAATGGTTTTGACGATTCAGAGCCGGTGAAAACGACACCATGGATAAGCCAGCCGACGGAAGACCTGTGACGACAAATACCGATCAAATCATGGAATACATCGAGTTAGACCGGCATATAGCATCTCGTGACATCGCCCAGGAGATGGGAGTTAGTCACCAAACCATTTTGAACCATCTGCAGAAGGCTGGATATAAAAAAAGTTTGATGTTTGGGTGCCGCATAATTTGACGCAAAAAAACCTTCTGGACCGAATCAACGCCTGCGGTATGCTGCTGAAACGGAAAGAACTCGACCTATTCTTGAAGCGGATGGTGACTGGC